TTCTATAAAAAAATCTGGTACCAATTGTATCAACTAGATATAAAATGAAACTCAAATGTAATATAATTAACAGCTTTCTTTTTCAAAAAAAAAAAAAAAAAAAAAAAACTGTATTAGCTCAGCAAACTATATTAAGTCTACATTAGAAATTTTTTTTTTTTTAAGCAATGATCTCTCTGTCTAGAAGACTTTATTGCTTTTTCGCTTTTTTAATTGATTGCTTATCTGTTTGAGGTTGTTGTGCTTCAACAAGATTACCAAAAAGACCAGAAGTCTTGAATGGTCTTTTCAATTCACCTTCTGCTGGTTTACCAAGCAAATGAATCTGGACGATCGGATTTTCATACGTAATCTTGAGTGGTAAAATGGACTGAATGAGTAAAGGTTGTGTAAATTCAAGCCAAAGGTGTAAAATCATCATAAAAACAAGTCCGACAATGGTTTGCTGAAGAAGTTCTTGAAGTTTCCCAAGATCGTAATCGCGATTATTCGTTTCCACATGTTTTGGAGGTTCATCTGTTAGACGTTTTGCTGGTTCGACGTATTCAAGAGGAGTAGTATCTATGCATTAAATATGGATGACAATTAAGAAATTAATTAATGGTTTATAAAATCTAAAATAATATGAATGGAAACTTCAATAATACCATTTTTTTGCTTTATTTTTGTTGCAAGATAATAACAAAGTGAAAGAATAAGAGTTTGGACTCCTATATATCCAGCACGAACATATATAATGGACTCCGGATTTTCAAGATCTAATTTGCGAGCAATTTGGACGACAATAAGGATGAGCACTAGGTTCAGCACCTAAAAACGGATTAGCGAATTTAACTCTTGGTAGAAAAATAAGTACAGAGCGCTGAATAATACCTGAGAGTTCATGTTCACTTTAACTAGAAATAATTAAAATAATTAAGAAAAACTCTTGTACGTCCCATTATGTGATGTGTTGCTCCCTCTTTATACGTACGTACGTACATACGTATGTTGTAGGGTTCAGGGCACAGGGGCATGGGGCATGCCCCTGAGAGGGCATGCCCATGGGCATGCCTCAAGTCCAAAAGGCATGCCCTTGTCATGTGATGCTCAAAGTTATTTTAATTGGCTAATAAGTTCAGGTAAACTAGTAGATACTAAATCAACATGAGAAGTTGTGAGCTATATGTTAATCACATGATTTAAAAAGGGCATGCCATGGGCATGAGGGGCATGCCTTAGCTCAGGGGCATGCCCATATGGGCATGCCCAATTTTTTTCCCATGCCCTGAACTCTAGTATGTTGCCTGATGTCTATATTTGTCTATCCCGTGACTTGTGTCAATCTTTCGGATCGGTTCATTTAAACTGTGGCCCTTTTTAAAATACAACTTCTCTGTTACGGCAGTTACTCAGATAGGCAAGTCACGGGGCATAAGTTTCTATTTGTATAGTACCGGACAGCAACATCCACTTTTTATATATAAATATAAAAATGCTTATAACTTACAAACAAATGAATTTAAAAAAATCTGTCTTACA